CCATTATTTCATCTCATAGGCCTGAAAACATGGGCTAAAAATATGAACCTTTGTCCCAGTTTTTTTTTAAAAAAAATAAATGTGGCCTTGTCATTTAGATTGTTTTTTGGATGTTTTCTTTTGGACTATTTTCAATACCAGGTCAGATAAGATTTGATCAGATCATACGAGATCACACCAGTCTTCTGTAGTTATAAAATTCACAGAGACCAGACGTTTACCAAATCAGACCAGTTCAGACCAGATCAGAATAGACCAGACCAGATCAAATCAGATCAGATCAGACCAGAACAACAAATTTCAGTCCAAAAGAAAATATCCTTAGATGTTTGGAAGTGATTATTCTTCAAAAGTCGAAGTAGAATCAACCAGACACCATATGATCTTTAGATTATTTTAAATATGTATATACTCCCTCTGTCCCTAAATTTACTTCCATTTCGCTTTTCGAGAGTCAACTTAAATCACTCTTAAACTCTTACTTTTTGTATCAAAACTTTATGAAAATTGATTTTTTTTGTGCAGGCTTTGTAGCGGGTTTAATGTAGTTTCTGAATATGTAAATTTTATTTACTAAAAATAATCCGAGTTTTCACAGGGATCATTTAACTTTATCGTCGGTCAACCTTCGTAATCCGCAATCGGAACAACATTCAGGGACGGAGGGAGTAATATATATCAATATTATTAGTTTCATATGAAAAATTATAAAAAATTATGAATTTTGATATATATTTTTGAGAAATGCTAGAGTTACGCATTATGTATCACATTTGCACACACTTTCTATCTACATATAAAGACAATTCTGTCTGCGTAAACAGACAATGTATGCAAATGGGTTACACAAAATGGGGTACACCTAGCATTTCTCTATTTCTTTTTAACCTAAGCTTTGTCCGGTGGGAAAATAGTTTCTTTTGAAGATATAATTTTGAATTTTGATATTTTAATTAGAAATCATATTATATTGTCTTTAGATTTTTTAAAAAAATTATATACTTCCTCCGTTCCCTTTTAATTGCAACAGTCAACATTTCACGTTTGTCAACGCACAAGTTTGACCATTAATATCTTTCATTCTTTATTAGTAAAAAATTCAAAAATTCATATTTTGAAAATTTAGAATGAGAAGAATTTAATAATATTTTTAAAAAAATTAATTTATAATACATTAATGAATAAAATATAGTCAAAGTAGAATATGTGAATAGTGCAAAAAGTCCAATGTTGCGATTAAAAGAGAACGGAGGATAGTATACACCATTTAAAGATAATAGAGATTCTTTTAAATTGGGGTCCCATCTTTAACTTGCACACTTGGTACTTTGCATTCCGCGAATTTCATTTTTACGTGAATATTTTTAACTAGAATGTAATGTAGTTGTATTTTGAGAAATATTTTTAACTCAATGTTATTTTGATAATTACTTACCGAGTACTCCCTCCGTCCCAAAATTATTGTCCCGCTTTCCTTTTCGGTCCGCCCCAAAATAATTGTCTTGTTTCTTTATCTTCCTTATTTGGTAAACAAATCTATACCAAACAGTGTCGTTATAGTGTCATTTTCTGCTTATTTAAGAAAAAATTATTTTTAAAATATATTTTACTAATAAAATAAAGAAAAATTATATGTAAAAATAACTAAAATGGTCATCTATAGTAACTTCAGCCAATGCAGCCAGAAAAGTAACTCCAACCTTACCTTTTCTGCTTATTACACAATTCAGCGCGCGAAAGCAAAAAGTTACGTGTTTGGTGAAAAAGTTGGTTGATAAGCCTGATAAGCCGAAAAACAGTGCTGCTCGAGTAAAAGGACACTTACATAAAAGATGATCAACAATCGAGTAAAAGGACACTTACATAAAAGATGATCAACAAATTCCATATGATATTTACCAAAACAAAATGATCAAACCATTACCATGTACTCGTATATGAGGTTATCACATGTTACCACTTACTAGTCTATGTGTCTAAGGCTCAACCATAGAATGAATGGGAATTTGTTGCTATATAATTCTTCAGGAACACCTTTGACAACAAAATGAATTTAGCTTCTGGATGATTGCATTCTGTCCTCCCAATAGTGCATTCAACATATTCTTCATCGTTTAATTGTTAACATCTTAAATTATTTTAGTTACACTTGAGTGAGCTAGCTAGGGCCAACTTACACTAAACTTACATATTTTAGAAATAGCAAAACATATTATTAATATTGTTTGACTATAATTAATTTAAGTTATGATTTATGAATGTACAAATGTATGAAAAGAAGATCAATTTATATCACGCATGTGAAAAGATACAAGTTTAGTCTTGTAGATAAAATTTCAGAAATTTACCTAAACATAAGTTGAACATAAAATACTTAATGAATTTTTTATACTTCTATTCTTTTAATAAAATTACATTACTCCTATGTTTAGCGAACAAAACATTCATAATCATGTTTTAGAATTTTTCCTATGTTTAGCGAACAAAACATTCATAATCATGTTTTAGAATTAACCTTCAAAAAGTAAGAGAAGTAAGAGTGTCAACAAAAAACGAGAAAACTGTCAAATAGGTCCTTGTATTATTGCCAAAAAATCAATTAAGTCCTTCTACTTATTTGTAAATCAATTAAGTCCACGAAGTATTAAAAAACATTCAATTATTTCATTTAGCCGGTTGGGATCTGGTTATAAGGTAAAATGTGTACAGTGGCGGTACACGTGGATCCCCCCTTTTCATTTTCTTTTCTGGTGACAACTCCGGTACTTATTTAAAAAATGAGATACCGTACCTACCATGCATTTGATTGGTCCAAACCATTATATCATTTTTAATTTAGATTTAAATAATTCAAGTGTATCATTCTTATTGGTCCATGTGGACAAAGGATCGGAAGAAGAAGTCAGGGAAAGAAAGAAAGGCTTAAAGAAACAAGGAAGAAAAAGAGTAAAAGAAAAAGAAAAAAGTAACGAAAAAACGGAATCATTGCCACATGGGCGTCCACGTCACCTATTACCGGCAACATTTATATCCAACTGGCTAAATGGGCTAATTGGTCTTTTTTTAATACTTTGTGGACTTAATTGATTCGCAAATAAGTACGAGGATTCAATTGTCTTTTTGTCAATAGTACGGGGACCTATTTGACAGTTTTCCCTAAATAAACGATTAAATGATAGATAGATGGATAAAGTGTGAAGGTAAAAAGTTAGTGAAATTCAATTTAGAAAAATGTTCATATTTTTGGACAATTCAAAAAGGAAGATATATCTTGCAAAGTGGGTCCGAAGGAATTATTAAGGATTAATTACCTAAATAGGAGTAAAACATGAAGATGCATAATAATAGGAGTAGAATTCCAAAATTCCCTAAATAGGAGTATTTTCTTGTCATTGGACAAAAATGCCCCTATAGACCTAATCCCCTATCCACTGCCACCACCGGAATACCCGCCACCAACAGACTAACCTTGTTGCCCAAGGGAACTAGGGAGTCAATTTCCTTTTGTTTTTTACCCTGGGATGTCGGGGATGGGGATTTGGGGTAAACTGAACTCAATCTCACTTCATTGAGAATTGAACCCGGGACCTCCGATTAAGGAGAGGGAGTCGGCGACCAATTAGGCTGGATCGCTTCTTCGAACTAGGGAGTCAATTGATTAATTAGATTAGGGGTAGAGAGAGGATATTTTTACTTGGACTGTTTTCTGTCTCAGACCAGACCAGACTTGGACAATTATAAAATATACAGGAACCAGACTTTACTAGACCAGTTCAGACCAGGCCAGATCAGACCAGAAAATTTCAGTCCAAGTAAAAAACATTCTTAATGTTTAGTCTTATTTAGGAAAGATTCGATTTTGACCCCTATTTAGGGAAAAGTTATATGTTTAATCCGCAATTACTTGTATATTAAGAGCCCATTTGATGAGTAAAACATGAATGATGTTGTTTTCGTGTACATATTAGTCAACTTTTTCACCATTTACTCCGCATGTTTTTCGGCTTATCAGTCAATTTTTTCACCAAACAGATAACTTTTGATTTCGTGTGTTGAGTTGTGTAATACGAATTAATAGGAAAAAGTAAGGTTGGGGTTACTTTTTTGACTATATAGGCTGAAGTTACTGTACATGATCATTTTAGTTGTTTTTCATAAAACTTTTTCTTTGTTTTATTAATAAAATATATTTTAAATATACTCCGTAATTGTTTCATAAATCAGCAAAATCAACCAATCCAGACACTTCAACCAGAACTTCATAAATTTCAACAGAATTAACAAATACAGCCGATTTGAGTATTATCAAACGGGTTTTAAAAGTTAAACATTTTCATAGTGTATTTTCTTTGTAATGAAAATATACCGATTTAGGTACAAGATTTCTGTTGATCTCTTCATAACCTTCATTAGTTCATCTCTTCTTCCCAATAGTTCCCCTAAAGTTCCCCTATGCAGCTATGCTTGGCCTTAGTGGTGGACCGGGCCCGGTCCGGTTCCGCTTCGGGCCTAGGCCCGGCCGGGCCGGGCAGATTATGGGTAAGGCATGGGACCGGCCTGGTAGACTACCGGTTCCGGGCCGGTCCGGTTCCCTTTTTTTTTTGTGTTTTATTATTTATTTCAACCCCTACCCCCAATCCCCCCCACCCCCCCCAAGCCCCTCGGAATCACCCAGCCCAACCCACCTAAACCCAGCCCAAACTCCAAAAAAAGAAGGAGGCCCGAACCGGCCGCCCCCGGGACCGCCCCCGGTATGCTCTCCGGGTCAGGCCTAGGCCCGGTACCAGAACCGGTCTTCCGAGCCGGTCCCGCATAGTAGCGGGCCGGGCCGGTCGGACCGGGTCCATGACTACTTGGCCTCCAGTATAGCATCTCTTTATATGGACGAAACCTCTCAAACAAATGCAGCTTCTAATAATGGATTAAGTAGAGGTTCAGGAGCGATATATATGGCACATATCGTCCAGTCCATCCTCATAATTCTAATTCTAATACAATAATTAAATCAAACAATTAAAACAGTCTAATATGCCAAAAATTGGCCGATAAGCCATCTGCCAAACACAAACACCCTTTTCTGCTTTACACTTTTATCAGCAAAGGAAAGGGAGAAAACATTCACGTTTGGCAATAAAAACTAATCTGCCACAAGACATGGAATTGGTAGAATTCCATGTTTCTCTTACAACCTTAAAAAAAGAATAGCATTCCTCTCTATGTACACGAAAACATCATTAAATAAATTTTATAAAATGAAACAATAGTAGAATGTAACACCACCTAAGCTGCTAAGCATACATACTTTTTTAATCACTAGTTGTCGGACCAACAGTGGTAGCCGTGGCATCACCATCACCGTCATCGTCAAAACCGGCCACGCCATTCTCCGGTCTAATTTCCTCAAGTTGTTGAAGAACTTGCTGAACTTCCGGTCGAGCCGAGGGAGAGGGGTCCACACAATGCAAGGCCAATTTTAGAGTATTCAACAGCTCATCACCAATACTTGAAGCATCCCTCATGAGTTCCAAATCAAAAACCTCATTAGTCCACTCTTCTTTCACTATTGACGCAACCCATTGAGGCAAATCCACACCATCGTGCATTGCCTCCCCCGGTGACTTCCCGGTAAGGAGTTCCAATATGATGACCCCGAGGGTATAAACGTCTGTCTTCGTGTTGGCTTTCTTAAGCTTCAAGAGCTCGGGTGCTCGGTACCCTAATGCTGTCGCAGTTGCAATAACGTTTGCGTTTGCTGCGGCAGTCATCAGGCGGGAAAGGCCAAAATCTGCAATTTTTGCGGTTATGGTCTCATCAAGCAATATGTTGCTCGATGTTAGATTCCCGTGGATGATGTTTGCATTCATGTGGAGGTAGAGGAGTCCTCTTGCAATGCCTTTCGCTATTCTCATTCTTGTTGCCCAATCTACAGACGTTTCGGGACCTCTAGCTGCAACAAAATCACATAAGTCATAAGCACTTTCAAAGACATCCAGGAAATACTTGAGGGCTTTATGTATGTATTATAGGTAGTGTAAATATGGATTTATCGTTACAAATATGCAATTTATTTCAAGTACATTTGGCAAACTTTTTAGTCTTTCTTAGTCACCATCCACTGCAGAAATATACTCCATAAGTCGTTAAAAGTTGAACTGTTTGGAAGAATATGCTGATATGCAAACATACTCCATAAGTAAATATAGAAGTACTTCATAAAATGATAAAAGTTGAACTGTTTGGGAAAATACTTTTTGATGTATAATTAGTAAACTTTATACTAAAAGTTAAAAAAAAAACACATTTCAAACATTTTGTCTTACTGTTTAAGCTTTATAGTGCCAAGTCAAACATAAGTCGTTAACCCTTGCTTTAGGTTCCAACTTCCAAGTACATAACTATTTAAATACACTGCTTTTAACCATCACAATCACTCCTTAATTCCTTAAGTAAGTTATCTAGAACAAAAACAAAAGTTATGGAACTCCACAAGACCACAACATACGGAGTATATGGGAATGTACTAAAAAGCAAAAGTTGTAAATTAGAGAGATCCATAACATAAGGACAAAACAGAAATACTGTTTTAATTGGACCTAAATAAGAAAACGTAAACTTGTAGTTGAGGAAATTCATACTTACCTCTACTAAACTTCAAACATTAAAAACTGCAGCTGATAGAATGAATTTATATGATGTTTTTTTAGAAGATTCCTTAAACTGGATTAACACATAGACAAAATCTATACATAAGATTGTCATTGTTTTCTTCCTAAATTGAGGGGAGATTTATACTTTTGATAGAATCGAATAAATCCTGTTTTGAGAATAGAATATAAGTAGTCCTAAATGTATATTTTTATGATTGTTTTAACCTTAGCTAGAGTAGTTTTCCAAAAAAAAAACCTTAGCTAGAGTAATATATGAAGCTTTTTCCCCACAAATTTTGACATACCGTGAAGATAAGTGGTGAGACTCCCACCAGGCATGTAGTCGAAAACAAGAAGTTTCTCTCCTTTAGGACCCAAGTAATAGGCTCTCAAAGCCAACAGATTTGGATGCCTAATCTTCCCAAGAACGTTGACTTCACTCTCAAAATCCCTTTGACTTTTTGTAACCTTCTCCCTCAGCCTCTTGACCGCAACTTGACTCCCATCCTCCAAAGTCGCCTTATAAACAGTCCCATAAGTGCTTTTCCCCATTATCTCCGCCGTGGCACACAAAAGATCATCCGCCGCAAAAACCATAGGTCCGTCAAAGTGAACCAGCTTCCCTCCCGTTGCTTCCCCTTCCACTTCCACCGCCGTCGGCGGAATTCCCTTTTTACCCCCACCACCACCCTGACCACCTTCCTTCTTTTCTGATCTTTTCTTGGTGTTCAATAAGCACCATATCAGAATGCAGCAAATAAGTAGCAAGATCACAAGGAGTGCCCCTGCTATGATCAAGATTATGTCTTTGACCCCTAATTTCAGATGATGATGTTCTTGTGGAGTTTCTTTTGTTGGGGTCACTAAAATAGAACATGGGTTTGAAGGGCTATAGCCACAGAGATGGAGATTACCAAGAAACGAGCTTGAATTGAACTTCCGAGAAAGGCGGGTAGGAACACGACCGGAAAGATTGTTGTAGGACACATTGAAGAGATTAAGGCTGGTTAGATTGTCAAGGGATTCTGGGATTTCTCCGGTAAGATTGTTGCAGGAAAAATCAAGAACTGACAGTTTCTTTAACCTGCTTATAGAATCAGGAATGGGTCCAGAGAGATTATTGTTCTTGAGGTCAAGAAAGATAAGGGAGGGAGATTTTGGGAAAGTTGCAGGGACTGAACCAGTTAAGTAATTATAGCTGAGATTAAGACTAAACAGTTTAGTGGAAGAATTAGTGAGGCTCGGTGGGATTGACCCAGAGAGTGAATTGTTACTGAGGTCAATGGTTTGAAGGAGTCTGCAGAAACCCAGTGAACCGGGGATTGAACCTGTGAATCGGTTATTGAAGAGCTGGAGACCTCTTAGGTTAGGCAAAAGACCAAGAGTGGCTGGGATTGAACCGCCAATGACATTGTCATGAAGGCTAAGCTTTCTTAGGGATTGGAACTGACCAATTTTATCAGTGATCTTACCGTTTAGCCCTTTCCATGGAAGCTGAATAACTATGACTTCACCTTGAGCACATTTGATGCCCGCCCATTTCCCAGAACAGGCTCCAATTCCACTATCATTCCAGCTTCTCAAGAACCCTTTTGGATCAATCAAGTCTTGTTTTAAGGCTTGCAGAGCTTCGAAATCGGACTGGGTTATGATTATACCATCCCAAGACTGAGGTGATACCAATTGGAAACTACCAAGAACTTGTAATAGCAGAAAGAAGAAGAATTGGGGATAAAGACTGCACCTTTTTGACATCCTTAGTTGATGGAGACTTCCAAGATTCTTCATTTCAACTTCCATGGTCACACGATCAAAAGGGTATCTATCCCTAAAAGTTGTAATAAGAAAGTTTAGAGGAAAAAGAAGAAGAAGAAGATACTCTAAAGCAGTTACAAAGAATGGTTTAGTTCTCTAACTAAGCAAACAGTTAAGGTTTTGTAAGTGAGAAATGGCGAGCTTGGGGGAGTGGGGGGGTCAGTGAAGGGACACGTGAAAGGATGCAGATAGCGCAAAAACGTTGGATTAATTTTTGTAGCTGTTGTTATTGTATTTTTAATATTGTTTTGGGACAAGGAAACTGTCAGGTGTGCAGAAAGCCTAACGGCTAGTTTTCTGAATCTGTCCAAATAATGAATTCCATTTACATACCTCCACGCGTAACTACTGTCCGTTTAGAGACTGAATTAGACACTAGCTTACGCACTGACGGTAATTGTTGTGCATAAACCATCACCCTTGAATTTTTTGACAGAAGGGGTTTAAATTAATAAAATAGCATTCAGCAGGAATATAAGATAATAAAAAAAACACATGTAACCATCCGCCTTAGTTGAGACTGTGAGTTAATCACCTTTGACAAAGTAATATAACTCGCTAGACCTAATTTGGGCAACACAAAGCCAGTGACGATTACCGTAAACCTCTCATCCATCAAACCTAAGAGTCTTACAATCACCCTTGAATTTTAGTAAAGCGAATTGTGTGTAACTCCAAAAAATGAATTATTTGTGCACAAAAAAATCGTGATCACTTATACTTTTACTAAATCCAAATGTACTTGTTTGTGCCCAGACAATTAAACTTCGTCGAGTAAGCTATTGTGTAACCGGGTGTGTACACTAAGCAAATTAGAACTCTTACAAAAAATACTAAGAAAAAATAGTGGGAAAGACACATCATTCAGACAATAGGTAATTCGACAAAACAACTCCTGACAACCGTCGTCCCTCGAACCAGACTCAGAGTTTATCGCCTCAGCAATATAACTCGTTGATCCATTAATGAGCACAAATGAGCCAAAGACGGTTAGCGCAATCATTCCATCACCCACATCCAAAACCACATTCTTACAATCGAAAGAGATAAAACAACAAACAAACACAGACAAATTCAGACCATTAACATAAATAAAAGAAAAAAAATAAATTTCTTCACTCAGTCTTCCAAGAACCACCGGCGGGCGGTTCAGGAGGGGTCGGATCGCCTTCACTTTATCTTCTTCCTTCATCACCTTGATCGGCCCTTGAGTCGCCTCCAGCCGAATCTCCCTATCTACGAACGAATTGCCGGAAGATGGCACCGCTCCTTGCCAAAAGACGGTAGCGGACAAATAAAACTCTAGCGGTGAAACCCTAGAGACAGGACGCAAATCCAGAACGATACAATCCTCCTCCTCTTTGACTGATGAAATACCGATCGCCGCAGTCTTCATCTCCATGGCGGAGTTGTCCGCCTAAACCCTAACCGGCTGAAGTTCTACGTCGAAGAGAAGTCGTCCATAGTGGAAAAAAGGTTAAATAAATCTTTTTATTGTTTCAAATTCATTAATTAAGACCTTCTAATAAAAAATATCATAAAAGTACGTTTACTATAAAAATTTGATCAATATAGCCATATTAATCATTTTTTGACATATAATAGCAATTTTTATATATATAAAAATTCTAAAAATTCTTAAAATTTGAAGAAATATAGATAAAATTGTGAAAATTTTCAGAATGTTAAAGTTGATATTCTTTCATTTTTAGTTTTTTAATATGTTCACTACATCTATTAAAAAGTTTTTCCTTTTATGTTTTATATCTTTTTACATTTTCACTTTATTTTTTTCAGTTTTCTAGTTTTGTTTTTAACGTTTAAATTATTTATCGATTTTCACATTTATAATATTTTTACATTATAATTACATTATTTTTCAAATTTATATGAATTTTATAAGATTTATCAATAATGCTAATTTATTTTTTCAAACATAGCCTGCTATAACAGGCCAAAATGGTTGGATCGTTTGTATTTTAAAAGTAAGCGTATCTATATGATGTTTTTTAGTATGAGGACTAAAGTGATGGATTGAAGATAGTAGATGACTTTATTTGACCATTTTTCCAAAATACTCCGTAAGAGTCATAATCCCCCCTTTCTTGACTCCTTTTTCAAAGCATAGTAAAATTTGACTTTTAACTTTTACAAAACCATTCACAACAAACATTTAATTTTTATATCAATAAATAATACTTCATCCGTTCTCTTTTAATTGCAACATCGAACCTTTTGCATTATTCATATATTCTACTTTGACTATTTTATTTTTAATGTATTATAAATTAAATTTTTAAAAAATATTGTTAAATTCTTCTTATTCTAAATTTTCAAAATATGAATTTTGTCAATTTTTTACTAATAAGGAATGAAAGATATTAATAGTCAAACTTGTGTGTTGGCAAACGTGAAATGTTGACTGTTGCAATTAAAAGGGAACAGATGAAGAATTACATTTATATTTTACATCTGGACCAAATATAAACTATTTATATTAAAAATTTATTAAGCATTGTTTATACATATTTACATCTTTTACAACGATATTTGTTATTATTTACATAGAAACATGGAAGGAATTATACAAAAGTGCAATATGAATTGCATCGTGCACTTTTATACGTATTATTTGAAGTTAGACAATTTCTGTCCCACTAACATTTGAACAAGAGGGGGTGACACTGATATTGAGAGAAATGGATTTATGTGATTAGCATCGAATTGATAAAGTAAAAATAAAGTAAGAATAATTTAAAATCACACAAATTTTATTAAAGTTAGTATGAGATAATCATTTTTAAGACAGGTCGAAAAGAAATGATGAGACAATCTTAGTGAAACGGAAAGAATATATAACAAGTGAATAAATATGGTTTACATTTTGTACCCATTTGGTACACAGGCCACCAAACCTGGAATAAATATTTTATTATTTACATTTTTGTACCCATTTTTTATATTCATCCATGTACACAAAAATTTATCTAAAAATTGTTTGCATACACGCAATTTGTTCGATCATTTTTGGATAAATTGTTTGTGTACACCACCATGAATGTGCACAAACTAGTCCCGGGATCGGTTCAGTTTTTGTTAAATTCGGTTCGGTTCTAGTAAAAAATGTAGTTGATAAATTTGGTTCGGTTCTAGTTAAGTTCGATTTGGTTTTTACCTTTTTCGATTCCTTGAAAAAGTTATTTTTCCTCCTAAAATGAACACATGTTACCTTTAGTCACATAAAAAAAATCAAATTTTAAATCATAAAAATAATTGTCGAAATTATGACCATTACATTATACATAGGAGTACATGATGATATCCCAATGTTCAAATATCACAAAAATATTTAAGTGTAAACATTAAATTTAGAGCTGTCAAATGGGTCAACCCGACCCGACCCAACCCGTAATGAGTTATGCTTTATGTGGGTTGGGTTGGGCCAACCCGTTTAATGACGGGCCAGGATTTATACAACCCTAACCCAACCCACCTAACCTGTGGGTTAAACGGGTTGGCCCGCGGGCCAATGTAAAAAAATATAAAACGATTTTAAAAAAATAATAATAATTACCCGAAAGTATATATTTATATTAGCAAGTAGTAACAAAGGAACTATAAGAAATCAGAATACTAAAAATTCAATACTTGTTAAGTTTAATTAAAAATATTGAATACTTCCTCCTTTCTATTTTAATTGCAACAGTCAACATTTCACGTATGCCAAAGCACAAGTTTGACCATTAATGACTTTCATTCCTTATTAGTAAAAAAATTAAAAAACGCCATATTTTGAAATTTTAGAATGAGAAGAATTTAACAATATTTTTTAAAATTTTAATTTATAATACATTAATAAATAAAATATAGTCAAAGTAGAATATGTGAATATTGCAAAAAGTCCAATGTTGCAATTAAAAGAGAACGGAGGTAGTACTAGTTATACGAGAATTTGAAAACTATAAGAGGCTATGCGACAAAAATACTCATTATATAAAAATAAAGATTTACATAAAAAAATTTATTAATTATTTGCAAATAATGACTACTACGTAGTAATTTTTAAATATTGTATTGAACTTCACAAAAAATATATGTTTCAACATTTTATTTGAATATTTATTATAGAAATAAAAGAATAATACTTTTTTTATTGTAATTAAAATAATGTTGGTAGCAAAAGAACAATATTTTAGATAATAAAACTCAAAACTATATTTTTGTATTTTGGCCCGCGGGCCAACCCGTAACCCGGTAGGCCAACCCACTTAAACCCGCAACCGGCGTGGGTTGACCCGCAAAACCCGCGGACTAAATGGGTCAGGAATTCTCAACCCTAATCTACCAATAAATGGGTTTAAACGGGTCAGCCCGTGGGTTTCAGCCCACTTTGACGGCTCTAATTAAATTTAAACATTACAAAAACATAAAGGTTTAAAATAGGCATCAACTGCCAAGCAAAAAGGTTTAATAGCTTCAAGGTACATATCTAATAGCAGGTAGTTGAACTCCTAAATTATATTCTTATACTATTAATGCATCATTATCATCATAAGTAACAAGTATGTGATAATAAATTGACCGGTAATATTAGTAATTTATAATGAACAAATAACAACGTAATAAGAAGCATATTAATTCCCTTTTTAGGTGAGCTCAAATAACAAAAACAATTGCAAACAAAGAATAAATATAAAAGTGGGCTAAACTAATAAAATAACAACTACTCGGATTGCCAAACACCTTGTGGTTCGATGACATCACTGTGACTCTCCCAAGGAGGAGGTCACAGACTCACAGGTTCGAAACTCATCCCAGTCAAGGATGTTGACATTTAACAATAAAGTGTTGAACAAATATTATAAGAGAGACTAAAAAAGTCTAGCAAAAAAACAAGTACTCGGATTGGTCTGGTCCACAATATATAAGGTATATTATGCAAGAAAAATATATTTGACAAAAAATTCCTGACTGCAACGCGGTCTGGCTACCTCCATTAGAGTTGTTTCCGAGTAGAATTTTTTGATGAAATTTTGTGATTATATTTTACATGAAATGTATATTATTATATCTACCAAATGTCAGTTTAAAATTTAATTGGGCAGCAAGTTAAATAAAATATTGAAAACCAATGTGTTATATATATATATATATTAATATACATATATTGGCATAATGCTTTTCAATAATTTA